GTGACTTCACTTTCTCTTTAATGTGACATTTGTAGGAAAGAAAAAAAAAAAGAACATGGGAGAAGACATGGGTGAGGGAGGTGGTGTAGAGAGATATACTCATTTGGAAGGGATCCTGAGGCAGGCTCAGGGACCCTGCAGGAGGCTCTGCTGGCCCCAGGGCCTGTGGGGAGGCACGTGCGGGCAGTGCCCTGAGGAGAATGCCCAAGTGGGAGGAGGGGAGAGCCAGAGGCGCTGGTCGTCAGAGAGGTCAGGCAGAGAGCATTCCAATGGGAGAGAATGGTCAGTGTGTGTTCTGGGACTGCCCTTATCATTGCCTCCAGCTCTTCCCCTTGGGGCCGGCTTTCTTCAACTGACCTCTTCCCCGTGGCCACTGACCCAGCCTGAGCCCCGGCTTCCACCTCCAGCTTCCCTCCACAGCTTTGCCCGCTTGGCGGGAACCAGTGGCCTGTGGGGAAACCTTTCCCTGAAAAATGTATAGCTAAGACTGAGCCAGCAATGGGAACTGATGGGCTGAAGGAGTGTAGTGGTAGTGAGATCCACAGTGTCGATATTGACCAAGATCTCTACTCTTCCCAGCTTTGGGGCACCGAGATGAATGAGACCCAGTCTTTGCCCTCAAAGCCTTCAGTGATCAGCACATGTCAGTCTCAGGGTGGAAATGTTATAGTGGGGTCATCAATAGAGGATCTGGAGAAAGAGGATTGATTGATTCCTTCCAGGAGCATGGCGGACACTGCCTCCAAGGAGGAACTTTTTGCACTGGGCCTGGGCGTGAGCACGGTTTTCTACAGACAGGAGCAGCCCAAAGTTACATGACTAATAAATGACAGAATCAGGATTTGAATGCCCATTTCCTCTGTAGTGAGATGTTCATGGTTATTGCCCTGGGCAGTGTGAGGCTCTGACGTGTGTTTAAGAATAAATGTTCGCCACAGTAGTTTTTGAAAACTGGTTTTTTAAAAGCATGGGATCCAGGGTAGGGAGGGCATTCTCAACAAGAAAACCACAGGAAACAAGTCACCGTGAAAGTAACAGCCAGGAAGAACATGTGATTTGGTGGAGAATATAAAGGAGCAGATGGCTGGGTGTGACAGAAGAACCTGGACAGGAAGGTTGGAACCAAACCATGAAGGACCCCATGGCTGATGTGTTTTGAGTACCCTCTGGCAGCCTTGAGGAATAGCATTTTCTGTGATGGATCAATGTTCTGTATTTGTCCTGTCCAATATGGTAGCTACTAGTCACATGTGGCCACTGAGCACACGCAATGTGGCTTGTGAGGATAAGAAATTGCATTTTTATCTAATTTATGTTTCAGCTTAAAGAAACACATGTGGCTAGTGGGTCCTGCATGAAACAAGGGAAGTCATTTACTTCTCACAATAAGTTGGACAGAGATCACTTGTCCATTTTTAGTCAAGCTAAAGTTCTAGACCCTGATGCTGGGAAAGATTCAAGGTGGGAGGGGAAGGGGACAACAGAGGATGAGATGGTTGGATGGCATCACCGACTTAATGGACATGAGTTTGAGTAAACTCCAGGAGTTGGTGATGGACAGAGAGGCCTGGCATGCTGTAGTCCATGGGGTCACAAAGAGACAGACACGACTGAGTGACTGAACTGAACTGAACTGAAGGTTCTAGAAGATTATGTGACCTGCCCAAAGTTACATGACTATTAAATGACAGAACCAGGATTTGAATGCAGATTTCCTCTATAGTGAGATGTTAATAGTTATTGCCCTGGGCAGTGTGAGGCTCTGATGTGTGGTTAAGAATAAATGTTCACCACAGTAGTTTTTGAAAACTGGTCCCTGTGGATTATATAGGGGAGCTGTGTTTGTTATAACATCCAAGCTCCTGCCATAATGGAGTAACACAAATATCAAGGAGGCAATACAATCAGAGGGAAGGATGGTACTGTGGGATGAGGCTGTTCTTGGGGTAATAGAAGGAGCACCGAGTTCTTCTTTTGATTCTGTCAAATGGAGAAATGCAGTTGTGAATCCTAGACCAGTTGCCTTCCACCTATGGAATGGAGCATCTTTATCAATGGAATAGGGAGGCTTGCCAAGATGATCCCATGGCCCTTTCCATCCCACTTTTGGAAACTCAGACTCAACAAGAGCCATGCTCTGGAATTGTTACCGCCCAGACAGCTGCTGATGAGGTTGATACTGTATGAAGGTGAGGGTATAGCTGCAGCCTCTTGACCAGAGGTCCTGGGTGTGAGATAGATTCAAGGTTCCAACTCCCATACAAATCAGCTTTGTTCTCACCAGGGATGAGGGACAAAGTCCTGGGACTCAAATGGAGCTGTCACTCTGGTTGGATTAAGAACCTGGGCAGGAGGGCAGCAGGCTTCTGAAAGCATAGGGCTGAGGAGGCCTCACTAAAGAACAATGGGAAAGTTCTGGAAATTTTGAAGCTACAAGAAAAAAGATATAGATTGCATTATTTTTTCTATTTATGATTTTAAAATTTTTTTTATCAAAGACTTTTTATTGGAGTATAATTGCTTTACAATGTGTTTGTTTCTGCTGTCCAATAAAGTGAATCAACTATATTTAGACATGTATCCCTTCCCTCTTGACTTCCTTCCTACCCCTGCCCCCGCATCCCATCCTTCTAGGACATTACAAAAGCATTGTTTTTTAAGCAGTCAAATTCCTGAACTCAAAATAAGAAACATCTAACTCTAGAGCTTTTAAGATGATCATTTGGTATTTTGGAGAAGTCTGCTTGAAAACAACAAAAAGATTTGCAGGAAAAAATATTGTCTTTTGTCATTCTTATCTTCATTATTAATGAAAATTCATATTTCTGTTCTTTCATTCCCTGTAGGTCTTGGCATTCTTGCAGATATTCACAGCCATGGAGGGACGTGGTGGAGAGCCCAGCACCAGCCTGGATCTGCTCAGCCTGAGGTCTTATCAGTACAAGCACAGATTCCTTTTCTGGGCTTTGAGTCCCCAAAGAACTAGAAATTTTGTGTCCCACTTCATCTTACCTGGCTGCGTTTTTCCCTGTTACCTCTCTGGCCTTGTACAGAGCAGGTCATCCCTCATAATTCAGCTACTTCTATATCAGAAGTTTGGAGAAATGGGAAATTTAAAGGTCTTCAAGGCAGATAGGTAAATTCCTTAAAGGAGACTGGAGAGGTAGGGCTGGCGCTTAGCATGGCCTGCCTTCTGTTCCCAACTGTGTACTGCACGCAGGGTTGTCATAAAAAATGTGGGACACTCAGTCAAATTTGAATTTCAGATCAATAACGAATAATTTATTAAACATAAGTATGTCCTAAATATTGCATTCATTGTTGATTTGAAAATTCAAATTTAAGTGAGCATACTCCATTTTTGTTAAGTCTGGCAAACTCTGATTCTCTTGGCCTACCTTTTAGCCTCTGGCAATCCTCCCCTAAGCTGCAAGCTTGCATCTTGCTGGGACTTCTCTACTGTTACTGTACAGAACTGCTGGTCACTGTCAAGGTGCACCCTGGGAAGAGGGAGGAAGTTAACTCCCATGGGACAACCATGACCAGTGGGATGGGAGCTGATGTAAAATGTTCCTCTCTTTCCATCCCTCTAGGGCATGGAATTATGAATGCATTCTGTCTGGCTCTTCAGAGGATACCAGTGAGACTGAGCCTCAGTTTCCTAGAGTGGTGACTAGCTCAACAACCCACCCTTGTGTTAGACTCCCTCCCTCCCTTCCTCCCATTGCCCCACTCCTATTTCCTGGGATCACTTCAAAAGCTAAGATTCCTGAAGATAAATATTATATATTAATGCATATATGTGGAATCTAGAAAACTGGTACAGATGAACCTATTTGCAAAGCAGAAATAGAGACATAGACGTAGTGAACAAATATATGGACACCAAGGCAAGGGTGGGGGAAGAGGGCGTGAATTAGGAGGTAGGGACTGACACATACACTACTATGCATTAGATAGATAACTAATGATAACCTCCTGTATAGAACAGGGACCCCTACTCAATGCTCTATGGTGACAAAGAAGGGATATATGTATACATTTAGCGGATTCACTTTGTTGTACACCAGGAACTAGCACAACATTGTAAAGCAGCTATACTCCCATAGAAACAAACAAAGAAAAAAAGAATTTAGCAACATTAGCTGATTCAGAAATGAAGTAAAACAAAAAACTAAGTCACCTGCATGCACTCAAGCCCTGGGCTCAGGCTCCCCTCTCCGATGGGGAAGTTCAGGTTAAGAGAGGTTTACTGGTGCTTCTTCTGGAAGGAGAAACTCGATCTCAGAGCTGTAGAGCCTTTTAGCAAATTTGGACTGGAAGACTCCTGAGAGATCATATAGCACACCCATTCATTTTAGAGATCTGGAAACAGGCCAGGGACTTACCCAAGATCATTCCCCATCCCCACCAGCCCAGGGATAATCTGGAATTTCTGTTCTTCATGAGGTGAACTAATCTATATAAAAGCATAGTGCTTAGCGCCTAGCAGGTGCATGGAAAATGTGAAAATGGAATGATATGGGGAGGCAAGTGGCTAAAGACCTGCTGTAAGAGGGGACAAAATGTTTCCATATGTCTCGGTGGCAAGCTTCTGTTTATAGGATCCTGGCTCTCTCCACCTGTTGCTGCTCCTCTGGGCTCTGATTTGCACAGATGATGTGAAGGGAACTCTATATGGTTAAAGATATCCCAAGAAAGGCAGCCGGTAGGAAGAGGGACTCAGTGACGAATCTTACTGGAAACCCTAGCTCCTGCATTTCTGCACCAGAGCCTGAGAATTTGGGCAACCAGTGCTCTCTAGGAATCGGTTAGAGCCTTTATGAATCAACCCAACTTAAATATTTTAGCTCAATTCCACTAATTTTTGTGCCAGGGACTGCCTCGGTCTGCAGTTGTTGTCGTTCAGTTGCTCAGTCACGTCTGACTCTGTGACCCCATGGACCACAGCATGCCAGGCCTCCCCATCCATCACCAACTCCTGGAGCTTGCTCAAACTCATGTCCATTGAGTCGGTGATGCCATGCAACCATCTCATCCTCTGTTGTCCCCTTTCCTGCCCTCAGTCTTTCTCAGCATCAGGATCTTTTCCATTGAGTCAGCTCTTTGCATCAGGTGGCCAAAGTATTGAAGCTTCAGCTTCAGCGTCAGTCCTTCCAATAAATATTCAGGGTTGGTTTCCTTTAGGATGGACTGGTTTGATCTCCTGTACTCCAAGGGACTCTCAAGAGTCTTCTCCAACACCACAGTTTGAAAGCATCAGTTCTTCAGCACTCAGCCTTCTTTATGGTCCAACTCTCACATCCATACATGACTACCAGAAAAACCAAAGCTTTGACTGTACAGACCTTTGTTGGCAAAGTAATGTCTCTGCTTTTTAATACACTGTCTATGTCACAGATTTTCTTCCAAGGAGCAAACACCTTTTAGTTTTAATGACAGAAAGCCTAGGTCTGAAGAGTCACTAATATGACCGGTTTCTCCTCCAGGGGACTCATTGTCCCATGGACCATAAAATCAGGCCTCCTGAGAAAGAAAAAAAAGAAAAAAAAGAGTCACTCAGTCATGTCTGACTCTTTGAAACTCCATGGACTCTAGCCTGCCAGTCTCCTGTGTCAATAGGATTCTCCAGAAAGAATACTAGAATGGGTAGCCATTTCCTTCTCCATGGGATCTTCCTGACCCAGGGATTGAACCTGCGTCTCCTGCATTGTAAATAGATTCTTTACCATCTAGGCCACCAGGGAAGCCCCTGAGAAAGGAGGTCTGGACCAAATTTATCAAACCAAACTCTAGAGATGGATACCCCCTAATCTGTAATAAGCACCTGCACCAGGGAGAAATGAAGAAATGAATGACAATATATATATTATATATATTTAAAATTCTCCTCTGGCATGAAGGAGATGCTCCCTGAAGCACTTGGAATCCTGGAATTAGATTCCAGCAAAAATCCTGGAATCCTGGCTCTGTTAGAAAAGAAGAGGGAAAGGAATGGTTGTTGGTAGGTGGACTAGTCAGGGTTTGTGGGGGGAGGCAGAAAAAAGCTGGTGCCAGAAGGGATGGTTAAAAAGGAAATAAAAGCAAAAATAAACAAATGGGACCTAATTAAACTTAAAAGCTTTTGCACAACAAAGTAAACTATAAGCAAGGTGAAAAGACAGCCTTCAGAATGGGAGAAAATAAAAGCAAATGAAGAAACAGACAAAGGATTAATCTCAAAAATTTACAAGCAACTCCTGCAGCTCAATTCCAGAAAAATAAATGACCCAATCAAAAAATGTGCCAAAGATCTAAACAGACATTTCTCCAAAGAAGACATACGGATGGCTAACAAACACATGAAAAGATGCTCAACATCACTCATTATCAGAGAAATGCAAATCAAAACCTCAATGAGGTATCATTACATGCCAGTCAGAATGTCTGCTATTCAAAATCTACAAGCAATAAATGCTGAAGAGAGTGTGGAGAAAAGGGAACCCTCTTACACTGTTGGTGGGAATGCAAACTAGTACAGCCACTATGGAGAACAGTGTGGAGATTCCTTAAAAATCTGGAAATAGAACTGCCATATGACCCAGCAATCCCACTCCTGGGCATTCACACTGAGGAAACCAGATCTGAAAGAGACATGTGTACCCCAATGTTCATCGTGGCACTGTTTACAATAGCCAGGACATGGAAGCAACCTAGATGCCCATCAGCAGATGAATGGATAAGAAAGCTGTGGTACATATACACAATGGACTCAGCCATTAAAAAGAATACATTTGAATCAGTTCTAATGAGATGGATAAAACTGGAGTCCATTATACAGAGTGAAGTAAGCTGGAAAGATAAACACCAATACTGTATGCTAACACATATATATGGAATTTAGAAAGATGGTAATGATAACCCTATATGCAAGACAGAAAAAGAGACACAGATGTATAGAACAGACTTTTGGACTCTGTGGGAGAAGGCGAGGGTGGGATGATCTGAGAGAACAGCATCGAAACATGTATATTATCTAGGGTGAAACAGATCACCAGTCCAGGTTGGATGCATGAGACAAGTGCTCAGGGCTGGTGCACTGGAAAGACCCAGAGGGATGGGATGGGATGGGAGGCGGGAGTGGGGTTCAGGATGGGGAACACATGTAAATCCATGGCTGATTCATTGCAATGTATGGCAAAAACCACTACAATATTGTAAAGTAATTAGCCTCCAACTAATAAAAATAAATGGAAAAAAATAAAAAAATAAAAAGAGTTCAGCAAAGGGAGTGCACAGTGTGGACAGCATTGAGGGAAGCCAAGCAGTGGTGTGGGGCACACAGTGACCGGCATTGTGGGAGGCTGCGCCCATCCCTGAGTGTAATGATGCCGAGTAGCTGCAAGAGATAGCTGCCTGGCAGGTGCAATGCTTTTTGCTAGAAGAATTCAGCCACTATTAAACTCCAGACCTGCAAGGAGAGAGTCGGGGGGTGAATAGCCCAGCCTTGCTTTCCTTCCACCTCCCACTTCCTACAGATGACTTCCGTTGGTAGAAGCCAACCAGAAACCAGAGGACAGGGAGGCTTGATTGGCCCAGTCTATAAAGGTCAGCCTCCCTGGGCACCGAGCGGAGTAGAGAGTGGAACTGGAGAGGCAAATGGAGACCATTCAGTGGAAGACAAGCATCCGTCCCAGTACCTTTATTTAAAACGCACAACTATAGTAATATATACCACCGGCATGGACAAATTCAGGAACACACCTGACTCTCGATAAGCAAGGAGTCAGTGAGAACAGAGCGCATTAGGGCGTGAGAGCTCGGCCCTGTGGCTGTGAGCGGTTAGGTACTGTGGGCTTGTCTGGTTTATGTCCCGGTGGGAGTAGAGGGTACTGGCTGAGTCTGTGAGTCTGCTGGGCTTCCCTGGTGGCTTAGACGGTAAAGCGTCTACCTGCAATGCAGGAGCCCCAGGTTTGATCCCCGGGTCACAAAGATATCCGGGAGAAGGAACTGGCAATCCACTCCAATATTTTTGCCTGGGGAAGATCCCCTAGAGAAAGAAAAAGCAATCCACTCCAGTATTTTGGCCTGGGAAATTCCACGGACAGAGGAGACTGGCAGACTACAATCCACGGGGTTGCAAAGAGTCAGATACGACTGAGCAATTAACATGCACATGAGCCTATTAAAGGAGATGAGTTAAGAGAAATTTCCTATTTTACCACCCTTCTTTCTTGGGGCAGATGAAAAGCAGAGGGGATTCTGTTAAGTTCAGTTTAATATTGTTTATAGTATTGTTTATTATTCCACTGTACCTACTATTGAGAGATAGATACTTTAGGGACAAAGAGAGGAAGGATAAGATATGGATTCAAGTGTCCTGGAATTTACATTCTAGGTGGGGAGATAAATTCCAAAGACGGAACAGAATAATAAACAGGAGAGCGACTGAAATACTGAAGTGTGGGATCCAGATGAATCACCAGGAATTTGACTAAAGCACACCACATCCAAGCCTGTGGTTTCAGCATGGTCCATAAGGGCTTCCCACCTGGGTGGGACGAGTTAAAGCCCTTCTGCATGAGTTTGGAGAGCAGGGTGTGTCTAATCAAAATTGGGCAATGGGACTAAAGAGAAAGTCTCATACTTGGATGTTCAGATTCTTCTCTTTTGGGTGGACGCCCCTTGGATCTCCTTGTCTTAACCATGTCTGTCGAAGGCTCATGTGGGTTTCCCAGGGCCCAGACTAATGAGGGGACATGGGCTAGAACAGGCATTTGGAAAACCTTTGCTCTTTGAAGACACTGCATGTGTGAAGGGCAGGGGAGGAAAGCCATTTGCAAGACTCGTGAGTGGTGCTCACTCCAGGGGTGGTGGGCTTGGATAAGGGGCCCTGCATCCTCACCAGCTCTATTTTCTAAAGGGAAGGTGAAGTATTTATCCTCCCTCACAAGATAGAGCAGGATTTCACAAAGTGTATTTTATGAAACATAAAGGTCCAGGAAATGATAAAAATAATTTTCATGAAAGAAGAGGGTTCCTCTGCTGAGTGAGTTTAGGAAACACTAGATCAAACAAAGTTACATAGGGTTTCCTCTGCAAGATCTCTCAAAATCTTGAATGTGAAGCTGTGTGTTATGAAATTCCTTCCAAGGGCCAGTAATGGCATATAGGGATTGCCAAACTTTTTTGATCAAAGAACTCCTTTTTTAGGAACACTCAGGAATATCTCTTAGAACACTCGCATTCTAAGGAACAGTTTCAGAAATGCTTAATATGTGGGGAATTTGCTTGTTAAATAGGGACCCCACAACAGAGAGAACTATGTTTAACACCACAAGATTTCTGCTAATGTTATACACAGCATTTCCCAATACCCGTGGGAAGTTGGGGGGATTCCCTCAGCTTTCCTGAGACTCCCCGTTTTCTCCATTGGGTTGAAGAGAGGACAACAACTAGGGAGGGCTTTAGGTGATGCAGCAGATAGCAAAGAGCACTCCTGCTGATGGACAGAACTGAAGAAGCCTGAGGTAGGGAGTTTGGGGACCTCTTCACAAAGGGCTAAAAGAACAAAAGGAGGAGAAATGGGGGGCTTCCAAGATGGTGGGACTTGGGGGATCCTGAGTTGATGCTCTCCTTCCTTAAAGAGGCTTTCAGTTCTTAGTCCCAAGTCAGCAGCGCATATTTTATAAATTTTCTACACCCTTTCTCCCCAGGGAACAGGAAGAGGCTGAACAGGCAAGAATCTGTTGCATCTAGAGTCTATATTTTGACCAGGATTTTTAGTTCACGGAATTGTCTGGCAACTATAGGTCCATGAGGAAGGAAACTCCCCAGCATGCCTGAGATGCTGAAGCATTTTTCTCAGAGTCTCGGTACAATCATCGTGGGAAATGGATAAGAACAACTGGCTTTGGCTTAAAAACAGGAAGATTCAGAGGTTACAGAAACCCCCAAGTCTGAGTCTCTGGGTTAAATATATTGATATGGCGATGATAAAATTGCCTCCTTTCCTAGGTCAGAAATGGTTGAATATTGGTTATTTTATATGGGTCAGCTGATAGCTGGCAAATATTTATGGGAGAGTCAGAGGGAGAAGAGAGTGTGTGGTGTGTGTGTGTGTGTCTCTGTGTGTGTAACGGGAACATTGTTGCGAAGCTAGTCTTATATGGAATAGAAATAGTTTCTCTGCTGATAAAAAGGTGGGAGAGAAAAGCTCTCGGGCTTATTTCCAATGGGTGAACAAGATTAGACGTTCACAACAGGTCTAGACTCAAGGAGATAAAGGTGGAGGTTGTAGGTATTGGCTCTTAGGATTAGGTGCAGAAAGACACTGGGAATACCTTTGGTCTTTGGGAGCAAGGCATGGAGACCTGGGTCTGACAAGTCACAAGCAGTTAGT